ACACGAAATCTGCAAGTCATTTAATTACAGTAATTACACATAAAGGAACTTATTAGCAGTCCCATTTATTGTAGCTGCCTAAGAGTCAAGTATACCCTAAAATCGTTTGTGAACCGACCGTACATCAACACCGGGCACTAAAATTGGCGCCGTGACTTTGAAATCCCTCAAATGCTTCTGATTGGCTCGTCCATAAATTATAGTCTCGCCGATTATGCTACTATTTATTACTTTAAAATACATAGGAGATTATCTGTGTTATATCCCTAAAAGAATTATGAATGATAGCTTTTGAAAACTATTTATAGACTAATATGATACATATACTTTTATTGTATAATTGTTAAGTAACCAAACTATTCATATTCATGTTCCTCTCATTATAAGCTTTATTTTGACCCATTGACTGTTACTATGCAATTTACCATTCTTGAGTTATACTCAGTCTATTGATTACTGTCTCCCACATTCACAGCCACATTTGGCTAAATCTTGTACAAATGTTATGTTCTATTTTATGGTACGATGTGGTCAGTCTGTTTGGTATATAAACTCAGTATGTTTGAAATAAATGCTTCATATTACAGAAGCTGTTCAGTGGTGTTCTGGATTTAACTGGCTGGGCTAGGCAGATAACAGGACCGACAAATAGTCTAGACCGCTCGTATGGGTTTTACGCATCCGATCGATAATTCACTGGACTCGAATTGATGGCATTGTCACGTCATATACTGATAGGGTCACAAGCCATATGATATAATTATCTGCTCTAACAAATTTTATTCAGATTAATAGAAAGTATACACATAATGTTAATAATGAACTTCTAACATAGATAAGTTTTTTTGTTAAATGATGATAAATACAATATTTCTGGTTAGTAGACTGTGTAAATATTTGGGATGAGTTTTGTACTTATTTGATATTGAATGGTACATTGGGCCTTTGAAGATCAGTACAGTGTTTAAATGATCTTATTTTATTTGAAAATTACACTAGATGAGAATTTGTTTGAAATAATTTTTGTGATTATCAGAAGGGATGGATAGTGGCTAGCAGTGGAATCCAGCTTGACGCACGTTTCGTCCTATTTGGGACTCGTCAGCTGGATGTACCTGCATCTCAGAGTTCATGTTCACTCTGGGATTCGAACCCAGTACCCTCGCTTCAAACGCCATCGCGTTATCTCTGCTAACCATGCTTGTGAATTAAGGTATATCGAGGCAATACGCACAGTATGCACATATGCCAATTAGAGACTGACCAGTTGCAGTCCTAACAAATCGATAGGAAGATTCCAACAAACAATACTAAGTTGAATTTATCAGAAGGGATGTTTTATGGAGATTTTAGTAATTTTATAGTTGAGATCATGAGTCGATTGAAGTTAGACCATTATGGAAAACCTGTAAGCACTGGATGGCCGTTTCGTCCTATTGTGGCACTCGTCAGCAGTGCATATCCACTATCCCGCCTCGCACGCGAGCGCTTAACATCTAGACCACTGAGCCGGCATTCAACGGTGTTAATGTCTAATTTATGTTAACTTTAACCTACCATCTAAATCATTTTTGGTTTGTTAGTAATAAGATGGTATAGAAATTTCCAGTATACCTGGTTCTTACTAAATGTCACTGAAGTAAATTCAATGTAAATATTAATTGGAAGTTAATGATAATATAATAGTGTAAACAATTACGTACATAGAGTGTTTATTTGAATGTTTCTATTTCTATTTGTCAAATGAAAGGTTCTTTAAGTGATTGTTAAGGTTGTACGTAAGTATATGATTCTCTCCTAATATGAAAGCTCAAAGACTATAATCAATTCTAAATAATTAATTTCATTGTGTAAAATATTACCACAGGAGTTCTAGACTAAAGTACGTGTACTGAAGTCTACTATGTAGTAAAACAACAAGACTTCTCCTTGTATTTAGAATAAGGAAATCACTTGGCACAGTAACATTTATCAAACACTGAACTGAATAGCATCATCAATTTCAACATAAAAATCAGTTAAAGGATCTGTTTAGAAAAAAAAACTTTATATTATATGTTCATTGAGTATTGTTTGTTTAAATCTTCCCATCGATTTGTTGGGACTACAACTGGTCAGTCTCTAATTGGCATTAGCTGACGAGTCCCGAATAGGACAAAACGCGCGTCCTGAATTCCACTGCTAGCCACTATCCCTCTCTGTTTATATTATGACTCATACGGTGGAATTCGAAACCATGTCACCTAGTTTCATGTTAGTATTTTCTTCCAGTTACACAACACAACGATAAATCAGTTTTGATAACTTATTGAATGTCAAGATTTTAATGATATCTTGAAATACCTTTATAGTTTATGTCGACGAGTTAAGGGATAGCGGAATGAATTTCCATAACTTCAAAATAATGTTATATTCCATAGGTACATCGAATAAAATGAAGTAAAGATAATATCAATTTAGTTTGTTTTATACTAGTCTGATAATTTCCTATTCATGTTGCCTTTTTAAACTAACTAATTATCTGGAAATAATGTAGGAAATTATCTGTTAATGTTATCTTATCATAATTTACAACAAGCATGTTTCATTGAACTCCGCCTGTAGCTCTTCGAGAGTTGCTGCCGGTCCCAAGCCCGGGTAAAGGAGGAGGGTTGGGTATGGGGTTAGCGACCCCATCCCGTAGAAAAGCTAACTCGCTAAAAAAACGCTAACCAGAAATGCTAGTGAGCGGCCTATGCTCCTCGACGAGGGGTAACAGGCGTAAGTAAGTAAGTAAGTAAGTATGTTTCATTGAAGATAATCGAAGCATCCATTCACAAGATGTATTAAATAAAGATGAATATTTGTTTAGATGTTCATAATGGTATATTTCATGTTTGAAGCTGGATAATAACACTATTGGATGACAGCATAGTAGTCTAGAGATTAAGAGTTTTGCACAAGATCAAAGGTACTGGATTTGAATCCCGCGTAAATTAACACTGCTGAGAAATTCAATACTAGGATGAAACAGACTTTTATCTCTTCTAGGTTCCCAATATTGGTCTAAAATTGATCGATCCATAATCATAATGAAACCATTCAAGGTAAATAATATTAAATAAAATAACCATCGATTAAATAATTCAGCAACAAAATCGTACCACAGAGCTACATAAGCACGATTCATGGATGGTAAAATAAGCACTCACTAGGCCTTATCGCTAAAAACTGTTGGGTTCGTGTTAAATAAATTACTGAACACATTTGATATACTCATTTTATCCTCAACTGCGTCAAATACTCTTTTATTATCTTTCATCCTAATTGTTGTTTTTTTGCCTTGGGATTGATCGAATAGTGTAAAGCATCTATGAAGACTTGATAAAATTTCTCACAGTTTGGATGAAAATGTTACTTCTAGAATAAGAATTTCATTTTGTCTGATGTAATGGTAAGGACTCTTAATGAGAGATAGTGATGATAAGGATTTCAAACTCATAGAGAACATCAATTCCTTAAAGATCTTAGAAATATCTTACTGATAAATCGTATTTATCTTGATTGTCAGACAAATTGTTTATCCCAAAATGACTCCAGCCACTCAACAACACACAGTACAAATTCATACTATGTTATGTAGTTTACTGGATTGTCTTTAATCTAATGAGCAGAAGATTTTCAGCGAGATTGCTTACCATCATTTAGTGATTAATTTTTGAGAAGAACTTTACCGATAAAAGTTTCAGTTTCAATTTTTAATATTCTCTTCTAGTACCATGTAGTGCATACTACGTATGTCGACGTAAGTAATATATAACATCAATGAGAAATAGAATGCCTGGCAGCAGAAGGTTGAAGAGAACAAATCAAACAAAACAGGAACAGAGAGCAGTTGTTATGACAATGAAGGAATCACAAATTTTAAGACAGTTTATTATGGATTTTCAAATGAACTATTGAACACATGCTATTCACATCCTAATGTCCCCACTTGTGTTCTAGTTCATTACAGTGTTCTGTGATTAATATTTATGACACAATAATGAAGTTAAACTACCATGGAAAACCTGGAAGCACTTGATGGCTTAGCTTTATTTGACATATGAATTCAAATATTAAATGACTACAATCTCTATCAAACCCCTTTAATTGGCTCATGCTTTCAACTATCAAAATACTAAACTCTCCACAAAACCCCCTCTGATCTATAATCATATGCTCACTAGTTACTAGCTCCATGAGGTATTTCCTTGAGTTCTAGTGGGAAGCAGTGACCAGTGGAGTTCGACCAAGTCTGTTGTAGAGACATCAACTCACTGAAGACAATTGGTGGACGGTTGCTCAAACTTCGTGGATTGATTGATGTAAGACATTAACACCGTTGAATGCCGGCCCAGTGGCCTATCGGTTAAGTGCTCTGGCTGGAGACTGGTAGGTCTTGGGTTCAAATCTCGTGAGTGCGGGATCGTGGATGCGCACTACTGAAGAGTGCCATAATAGGACGAAACGGCCGTCAAGCAGTGCTTCCAGGTTTTTCATTTTGGTCTAGCTTCAATTGACTCATGATTTCAACTATGAAAACCCCTTTCTGACAATAATGAATCCTCAACAAAACAAAAACCCCTATTATGTATTATGAATTTATTAGTAAATAGTATTCATGTATCAATTGGTTTAATCATAATAATGAATAACATTTTATTCAAGTAGAAAAAAAGGAAAAAGAAAATTAACTAGAATAATTGAATAACCAATTTATGTAAAACTCCACCTGTAGCTCTTCTAGAGTTACTGCCAGTCCCAAGCCCAGATAAAGGTGTAGGATTAGGCATGGGGTTAGCGACATCATCTCGTGGAAAACTAACTTGCTAATGTATGTTGAATATGAACAAAATATAAATGATCAATGAATGATATTATAATGAAAGAAATGATAATAGTTTATCGAAGAAGAAGAAAAACAAAAAAAAAGAAACTTTTACTTTTCTCATAGAAACAAAATTATTGATTTATTTTTTTTATTTTTTTTGTTGTTTATCTGAAATTTTTTTATTAAATTTATTCAATGGTGTATCATTTGCTCCACCAACTAATAGCCTATCGACTTGTCTACAGGTTTGGGTAAGTTTATATAATGGATGTACATTACTATTATTATTATGAGTAGTAGCGGTAGTAGTAGTAATAGTAGTACTATTCATTATATTATTGTTTATAGAATCATTATCTCCTTGACGACAGCAATTTGACCAATCTATATATGATTTACTTGGTATAATTGAATAATGTAATGTGTTTGATTTATGCATTACAGAAAAAAGTGAATCTTTCAATGGTGGATAAAATTCATTGGAAAACTTCTGATGTCCTGATCTTTTAAATGGTTCAATGATTTCGTTGGAATACTTTAATTCATCTTGTGAATGGTATGATAACGGTGATGTTGATGATTGATGTGGAAGATCAGTATCCTTCATTCTATTTAATAGATCATTAGTGGTGTTCGTTTCATATTTATCCATAGTATTATAAGCGTCAATTGCTTTGTGAAGTTTATCTTGATCATCTAATGAAACACTGGAAAGTAATTTTGGATTATAGATTGAGTTATCCGGTGATGTAAGTTGAACATTGGTTAAAGATGGATTATGTTCAATGTTATTCATATTTATTGGGATTGAAGATGATGTAGTTGTTGTAGTATCCGGTTGAATAATACGTTCAGTTTTACGAAATTTTGCACGTCGATTTTGAAACCAAACCTTGGAGGAGGAAAAAAAGGAGATAAAGAATTCAAAGATAAAAATTTTGACTTATATTTTACAGTATACATGTTAGCTATAAGCAGAGATGGATAGTGGTTAGCAATGGAATACAGGATGCGCGTTTCGTCCTATTTTGGGACTCATCAGTTAGATGTACCTGCATCTCAGACTTGTTGATGTTCACTCTGAGACTAGAATTAAGGCAATATCGAGGCAATACGCACAGTATGCACATATGCCAATAAAAGACTGACCAGTTGCAGTTCTAATCAACAATGGGAGGATTCAAACAAACAATAGTAAGTGAATTCATGCATGTTAACTATTTTCTTCACTATACAATATTAGTCAAAAGCTTCGAAGGTAAATAAGTTAAAAGATTTTTTAAATCGAAAAGCTGTTAACTATTTAGTTACTACATATATCAGTAGAGTAGTACAATTCACTACAAAAATGAATTACATATGTTCTGAAAATTGATTGATCACTGGGTGGTGATCAATATCATGTATTTCATGTCCTTCTAAGTGCATTTTGGATCCTATCAACCAAGTTTCAATGTGATTACTAGTCTAGGTGACTCGACATTGCGTACACTATGTTGAGATAAGATGGTAGTTAGAGGTGGTCAACAGGAAACCCTAAACTTAGGTTTTGTGCTACTTGGCACTCGTCAGCAAGGTGTACCTGTAATTTTTAGGGAACTGGTGCTCCCTAACAGATGTGACCCCGTCTCAACCAGCTTCACAATCAAAGACATTAACACTGAATTATCCGAGCCGCGACTGACCTCCTGTAGGACTGAGATCTCACAAGTGATTGATCATTGATCAGTCTCTTGTTCCCATACGTGCATCCTGTGCGAACTGTCTCAATATTATCTTAAACCATAAGTTATTATAAGCAAAGATAGATAATGGCTAGCAGTGCAATCCAGGACGCATATTTCGTCCTACTATGGTGTGTGTTACTGATGTCGATAGATATAAGTATTATGTATCATGAATCAAAAATGAAATTCATGGCAACAGAAGGTTAAGAAGATTTAAGAAAAGAGGACAGGAACAGAAAATGAAGGAATAGTCAAGTCTGAGAAGAATAACTGACATTTACAAAAGGAATAGTTAAGTTTGAGACAAATGATTGCAAATAAACAATTAGCTGTATGGCTATCAGATTTTACAAATATATTCTATAATTATGTATTCAAATAAATTCGATTGTCCCCACTTGTGTTCTCGTTCACTACACTACCTTCTCATACATTTACTTATTGTTGTTTACTTGTATCTTCCCATTTGTTATTTTTGGACTGAAATTGATCAGTCTCTTGTTGGAATATGTGCATCCTATGCGAACTGCCTCGATATATCACCTGAATTCACAAGCTTTATAAGCATACGTTTCTGTTTCTAACTAGAATTGTTATAAAAACTCAGTAATAACTTCAAAATGTAATCAAATAACACACAGTATCGAGCCACCTAGACTAGTTGCCACATTGCAACATGATCAATAACATTCGATCAGCACTAAGAAGGATTTGACACTCATGATATTGATCACTACCCAATGATCAATCAATTGTGAATACCTTTCTCTATACGAACAGACATTAATAATAATAATAATATCTTTAAGGCAATAATATTGATAGTCGTACTACTATCCCCATATAGAAATATCGGACAATGTAAATGACTTAGTTAAAAAATGATAGTTTATACCCTTTTACTACTGAATAACAATATTTGAGTAGTATCATTTACCTGAACTCTAGCTTCAGTAAGATCAATTCTTAATGCTAAATCTTCTCTAGTATATATATCAGGATAATGGGTTTCTTGAAATGCTCTCTCAAGTTCTTTCAATTGTAAACTAGTAAATGTTGTACGAATTCTACGTTGTTTACGTTTTTCATGTAATTGTGTTATACTTAAACATGATGATGATGAATTAGAAAAGTTAGATAATATTGGACTTGTTATTAGAGGATTGATGGTTGGGTTCATTTCTATGACTGGATTGTTTGTTGGATGAGGATTGGTATTTTCATTATTACTACTTAGGCTATTGATTTTATTATTGAAACGATCATCATGACAATGATTTAAAATGGATTCATCATGATATAGACCTGATTCATTGGGATTAATGATTGTTGTATTATAATATGATTGAGTATGATTATTATTATTAGATGATTGGTTCAATGTAAATGATGGTGAAGATTTTGATAGATCACGATTTATCATTGATCCATTATCAGAAGATGATGAAGAAGATGGGCATTCATCTGGATAGGCTTTGTATTGACAATGATCTAGAAAGATTCAGAATAAATTGCATGATATTACACAAATGGAAACGATGAATTTGATAAATGAAATACCATAGTACTATACTACATTTCCGAAACCAGTTTCATATTTGACTATCAATCAAAATGCCTGTATAGTCACTAGTTTTAGCCACTCAGAACTGTGTGTTAATGTTAAAGAATTTGAGATGAATAGGGAGAGACTATATACCTTGATCGTATGCTAATTGATTGTCATCCATAAAACATAATCGTAATTTCAATTCACCGGTTAATAAGACTTTGACTAAGAATATATGATACATGTCAAATCTTAGTTTTCCGGACATTTCAAAGGTCTTTCTGAAGATAAACTGATACCATATGATTAATAATTAAAAGCTATAACTAGAGCATAATAGTCTGTATCTATAGTTACACCATGTATATATATATATATATATCATTGATGGGTTCATAACATTGGATAAGATTCATTGTGATCCCCTCCTTCTTTGTTTTGAATGATGTTTTGATAATTCTGGATCCATGAAATTCCCATCCCTGAGTGTGTGGAGCATTTTCTTCTTCTTGACCTGAGTATAGATACATCTTTCTTGTATCTAGCCTTTATTGTTCAGCTTGCATCTAATGGGTTTCACTGATGCCAAGTACTTCCAATTTGTATCTCTTCATTTCCATTGCTATTTGACTGGTCTTCCCAGTCTCCCACATTGTCCGAATGTTCCATATGCCTATAAAAATTTTTGCTCTGGTTGTTAGAAGGGGCAGCATCCTCGTGACTTCCGAAGAATCTTGGCTTTGATCGTGAGGTATCAAAATTCTTCCTTTAACTCGAAGGTGAGATTTTAGATGACCTGAATTATTTATTCTGGTTAGCGTTTTTATAGCGAGTTGGTTTTCTACATGATGAGGTTGCTGACCCCATGCCCAACCCTTCTCCTTTACCCGGTCTTGAGACCAGCAGTAACTCTAGAAGAGCTACAGGCGGAGTTAGGGTTAGGGTACAGGGATTTTTTTCAAAATTTCTCATTTTAAATCACTGTTATTCATTAAGATAATCAAAAATCATGAACAGCTTTTTTGTTCAAATCATCTAGTCCATTTATAAACTGTCTGATATATTTATACCTTACAATACAGTTATGATTGCTTTTATTTTTATTATTTAAAATAGTAACATGTCAATATTGACAATTATATTGATCAATTACTTGTTAACTATACGCTATACATTGTTTAATATGAGCACCTTCTTTTTCTTTGTTCGTTATGTCATATACTACTTACTAATAATTTAGTGAGTAGTTAATAAAAGACAAATCACTTTTTCATTGATCTATTAATGAAAAAAAACAAAGAATGAATGTCACAATACCATCTGTTTACAATATTCTTGTAATTTATTGAGTCCTACCCCCCACTTTCACCATCACCATCACCACCGCTTCACCGAACCATCCTTTACATCTTTTTTATTCCGGTTGAATATATATTCTCTATGTAAATGTGTGAAATTTGACAAGTCTATTTATCTTAACTAAAACAACAATATAACCATTCAATTTCTATTAAATTTTGGGTAAGAAATTTACCTTAAACACATTTACATTGATAATCTATTCTACTTGTTAAAGTTTTTCAAAAGGCGGATATTTAGATAAAAGGCATTAGGAAATCTATGTCTCCTTCTTTCCATTTTATCCTATTTAGTTACATTATACATTAGATCTATAGTGAATAAAACATCTGTCATATAATTATGTAGTTGAGGCTTTCTATGAAATTTCAAAAATCCAGTGAATGTAGGTAATAATGAGGGGTACATATAAACTCAGGTTTTTTTTTTCTTTTTTCTTCTTCTTCTTCTCCTTCTATATTAGACCTAATAATCATTTTGTCACTATGATACAACTGAAAATGGGTTTTTTTGTTTTTTTTGTTCTTTTTTTTGTTTTTTTTCATCCAAATAAGAATGAGAATGAAGAATGTTTTCCCCTTGTAATCAAGATTTCTTTAAAGTTATTAATAATAATAATAATAGAAATATGGAATTCTATAAAATTACTTTTGGATACACCAATTTGTTTCTATAAAATAATAATGATTAATCGATGTTGTTTTTTTTGTTTTTTCTCTTTTTTTTTTCTTTTTTTCTTTTTTTTTGAAGAAGAAAAAAAAACAGGAAAACATGATGATAAATTGAGGAAAAGAAAAAAGATACATTTTTTTTTCTATTTTGAAGAATCTACTCATACTCTTCTACCCCTTCGGAAAAAAAAATAACCAGACCATTTTTTTTAAAGGGATTTCTTAGAATGATTTCTTCCTTTATAGAATATTCTCATATCATAATGATATAAGAAAAGTCATTCTGTTATTATTATCATTCATAATGACATATATAAATGATATTTATAAACATAATCAAATAGACTGGTTAGCGTTGTTTCTTCAGGGAGTTAACTTTTCTACGGGATGGGGTCGTTAACCCTATGCCCAACCCTTCTCCTTTACCCGGGCTTGGGACCAGTAGTAAATCTAGAAGAGCTACAGGCGGATATGAAAAGGATGAATAACAACTGGAAAGAACTGAAAAGGAAGGCTCAGGACAATATTGAATGGAGAATGTCGGTGAGCGGCCTATGCTCCTCGACGAGGGGTAACAGGCGTTAGTAAGTAAGTAATCAAATAGACTAGAAATGAATAAGACTTCATAAAAAAATAAAATTGTAAATGATGTTAAAGAACCATTTTTATGTTAATGAAAGGATTCTAACGGAGCTACGTACGTTTGATACTGTCGATGATTGAGGTTCACATTCTCCTGAAAACATTACTTTATCAAATTGATCTAATTAATCGAGATCTTATCAATAAAATCGTTTACAGGTCTGGTTCAATAAAACTTGTCATTAGTTTAAATAGAAAGATTATGTATTTGTATAATCTCAACGAAGTGAATTTGAAGTAAATCCAACGTTTTGTCTGACAATCTGGTCCTATTTAATGTCTTACATCAACTCGGCGCCCAAATACTGTGAAACGATTAGTTCTAATTTAGGACGAAAGTTCTGATATAGTTGTCATTAGTTTCATTATTCACCTTCAAAAATCTTTGATTACCTAAAGAAACCCTGAGGAATACCCTGGATCACATTTGTTCACATCATGAAAACTATTGATAAATGTGATAAGAATCAACGCTGATTAAACTTACTTTTAAGATAACACTTGTACTACAATAATTAGAATGCTTAAAAAGAATCTCTACGGTAATGTAATTAATAATCTTACATAGTTCACTTGAACATCATCTAAATCCTGTTCGTTTTACAAGAAATCATCAAACTGTATCATGAGACAAATCTGAACTTGGATTCATAAAGACAAAAGAAAAAGAGAAAGACCAAACAACATATTGAGTCAGATATTGGAGACAGGCATCAGACGAATAAATAGCGATTGGAAACAACTGGAAAAGAAAGTTCAAGATAGAGTTAGTTGAAGAATCCTGGTCAGTGACCTATTCTCCTCCACGAAGGGTAATAGGCATAGATAATTATAACTCATAGTAAACAATCTTATGTTTTTAGAATACAGCTTAGAACTGAATATACAATAGATCCAGGTGTTCAATGTAAGACTACAGCTAAGAAATCAGTAAAGCTTCAGACATTAAAAAAATACCCACTGAATTGGAAAATTCCTCATTACTGGTTTCATAAGCGCAAATGAAGCACTTACGTATAAAATGATAATATTATAAGTAACAAGTTTGTACTGAATCTTTATCTTCTCTTCTGCAAGTTAGTTATGATTGACTACATTGAGATAGTTGATATTATTCGTAATTGAAATCATGATTCAAATGAATCCAGATAACCATAGAAATTATGTAAAGACACTAGAGGTGGCTAGCACATACATTGCGGAAATCATCAAACTGCATCATGAGACAAGTCTAAAGTTGGATTCATAAAGACAAAAGAATAAAAGAGAAAGACCAAACAACATATTGAGTCAGATATTGGAGACAGGCATCAGACGAATAAATAGCGATTGGAAACAACTGGAAAAGAAAGTTCAAGACAGAGTTAGTTGAAGAATCCTAGTCAGTGACCTATTCTCCTCCACGAAGGGTAATAGGCATAGATAATTATAACTCATAGTAAACAATCTTATGTTTTTAGAATACAGCTTAGAACTGAATATACAATGGATCCAGGTGTTCAATGTAAGACTACAGCTAAGAAATCAGTAAAGCTTCAGACATTAAAAAAATACCCACTGAATTGGAAAATTCCTCATTACTGGTTTCATAAGCGCAAATGAAGCACTTACGTATAAAATGATAATATTATAAGTAACAAGTTTGTACTGAATCTTTATCTTCTCTTCTGCAAGTTAGTTATGATTGACTACATTGAGATAGTTGATATTATTCGTAATTGAAATCATGATTCAAATGAATCCAGATAACCATGGAAATTATGTAAAGACACTAGAGGTGGCTAGCACATACATTGCGGAAATCATCAAACTGCATCATGAGACAAGTCTAAAGTTGGATTCATAAAGACAAAAGAATAAAAGAGAAAGACCAAACAACATATTGAGTCAGATATTGGAGACAGGCATCAGACGAATAAATAGCGATTGGAAACAACTGGAAAAGAAAGTTCAAGACAGAGTTAGTTGAAGAATCCTGGTCAGTGACCTATTCTCCTCCACGAAGGGTAATAGGCATACATAATTATATCTATTAGCCAAATTAATAAAAACAAACCATAAATTCTTAGATGAAAACAATTTTCAACTCCGATTAAACAATCTTATGTCAACCGAAAAAAATATAAAAAAAATTAATTTTATTGACATAAAAGGTAACTCTAAAAACTAATTGAATTATTGTTATAGAAAGAAAAATCTCCCTGCCTTAATCAATCCTTTCCTGTCTATGTACCATTTGCCAATCTAAGATTTATTTGAATCAATAAACA